AAATAGAAAGATCTCCCATGCTCATTGATAGGTAGGATTAACATAATAAAAATGGGAGTTTTACCAAAAGCAATCTACAGATTGAATGCAATCACTATCAAAATACCAGCACAATTTTTCACTGTCATAGATAGGACAATCCTTACCTTTATGTGGAAAATCAAAAGGCCCAGGATAGCCAAGGCAACCTTGTAAAATAAAGGAACTTCCAGAGGCATCACCATCCCTAAATTCAAGCTCTATTATAGAGCTACAGTCCTGAAAACAACTTGGTATTCACACAAAAGTATACAGGTAGGCCAATTAAAGCAAATAGAAGACCCTGATATCAACCCACAGACCTTTGAACACATGATCTTTGACAAAGAAGCTAAAACTGTATAATAGAAAAAGAAAGCATCTTCAAAAAATGGTGCTGGAGTACCAAGATGCTGGAATGTAAAAGACAACAGATAGATCCATATCTATCACCATGCACAAAACTTAAGTCTAAATGGATCAAAGAGCTGACCATCAATCCAGGCACACTGAATCTCATTGAGGAGAAAGTGGGAAGTATCCTTGAAAGAATTGGTTGAGAAGACCACTTCCTGAACATACCACCAGTAGCACAGACACTGAAATCAACAATTAATAAATGGGACCTCCTGAAACAGTCAACAAGACAAAATGACAGCCCACAGAATGGGAAAAGGTATTCACAATCCCACATCCAACAGAGGGCTGAATTCCAAAACTTACAAAGAACTCAAGAAGCAAGTCTCCAGAGCACCAAAGGATCCAATTTAAAAAAGGATCTAAATAGAGAATTGTTAATAGAGGAATCTAAATTGGCCAAGAGACACTTGAGAAAGTGCTCAACATCCTTAGCCATTTAGCCATTAGGGAAATGCAAATCAAAACAACTCTGATATACCATCTCACCCCTATCAGAATGTCTAAAGTCAAAAACACTAATGACAGTTTATGCTGGAGAGGATGTGGAGAAACGGGTATACTCCTCCACTGCTAGTGGGAATGCCTACTTGTACAGCCTCTTTGGAGATCAGTATGGAGCCTCCTCAGAAAAATGGACATCAGGCTACCATAAGATCCAGCATTCCACTCTTAGTTTTATACCCAAAGATGTACCTTCATATACTTAGGACATCTGCTCAACTATGTTCATAGCAGCATTATTTGTAATAACCAGAGCCTGGAAAGAACTTAGATGCCCCTCAACTGAAGAGTGGATAGAGAATATGTGGTATATTTATACAATGGATTATTACTCAGCAGAAAAATTGGAATCTTGAAATTTGCAGGCAAATGAATGTCACTAGAAGAAACCATGCTAAGTGAGGTAACCCAGTCACAAAAATACAAACTCGGTATGTACTCACTCATATATGGATTTTAGACATGGAGGAGGGCATTGACAGCCCACAATCCCACTGCCAGAGAGTCTGGGGTTCAGAGAGGACCCTATGAAAGATATGCATTATAACCCAGAGAAGGGTTATGGGATGCAATCTCCTAATTAGATTGGGTATGGGGAGAAGGGGAGGGCAGAAGGAGATGCGAGAACAAGAGGGAGAGAAGAGGGACACAAGGACAGACACCAAGACAAGAGTCTGATCAAGGAAAAAACTTTATTCATACCAAAGTGATTTATATAGGGGAAGGGAGGAGGGGAGGGAATGTGGGGTGTGCTGTAGCTGCAATGAACCTGGAGGAGCAGATGACAACACCAGGTCAGGTTTTGAGGACTAAAATAATGAAAATTGATGTATGATCTCTACTTATTTTGTTACTTTGAGAGAGTGTTGTGGTGGCACAGTTAAGCCTGGTTCTCAAGAAAGGATCAAGAAAAGCTGACATATGCACCAGTAGAGCTAGGTGGTTCTCACCTCTTCAATATTTGATGAAGTTTTTGGTGATTGTCAACAGGCAAACAATAACATAATTTGGTAGATGATGGCAAAGATCAGCTTGATTCTGTAGGAATTGACTGAGAAAAGGCACTGAGGGAATTGTATGATCATACTTAACCCATGATATGGGGATGATCATAGAGAGTGAGGATTTTTTGGAACTCTAAGGCAAAGCTGTTAGGGAATCTGTGTACTATGATCTAGAGATCTAGACAAGGGAGTATGAGTATGACGCTGGAAAGTGAAGTTCAGAGAAGCATATTCAGGCTAGTCTGCAGTGTGGTCTGTTCATCCTAATGCATTTCTTGGAGTTTGCAGCTGGCACACACACACAACCACACACACCACACACACACACACACACACACACACACACACACCACACACACACACACACACACACACACACACATATATATATATATATGTATATATATATATATGGTTATTTCCAGAATGATGCATCACTTGGGAAATCTGTTGCCAAACCAGCCTGATATTAGCTATGGCTGAGAATGACAGAATGGTCCATGAAAGTTAGTTTCAGGTGAGTTCAATCTAGGCATCAAGATATGGGTGTTAGACTATGGCAATTTAACAAGCCTTATTATGGAATAACTACCAAGGGAAGCTATTGCCAGAGCTGCAGGGGAGAGGTAGGCATGGTAGTGAGTACTTAATTCTGGCAAGCAAGTTTCAATGTAACTGAACAAGCAAAGTGATTTATTCAAAATAGCAATAAAAGCCAAAAAAACACAAATACCAATATTTGCCTGGGATAATGAACATAGCAAATGGGGATCTTGTCTCTTGGGGGAATTTACCATGAAAAGTGCAGGAGCTGTATCACCAAAGCTAGCCATGGAAGTGTGGGGAAATCCCTGGAAGGTGAGGTTCAGGAGAGTTCAATATCCAAGTACAATATAACCTCTAAATCCAGAGGAATACTGTGGAATGTGATATTAGCATATGTGAGCTAGGTCATGATAAAGAAATTATAAACAGTACATGGATCACAGAAATTAGGCCTATCTGTGAAATGTTGACACAGGCAAGCAAGGTTAAGGGGAAGGGACAAGAAAAATGAGGTGACAAAATGGATATTCATAGCTAGCCCTGGTAGTTTGCAGACTACAAAAGTGGGCTTGACTCTGGGAATGTCAAAAGGGTTTTCTAGAAGATAAAGTGTTTTGATTTGTTCAGTGCCTGTCAGTAGCATATAATCCTAGAGGGCAAAGATCATACTTCCTGGAAAAGTAAATCTTCTGTGTATCTGCATACACATATGTAGGCCACTTAGCATGAAAATTCAAAATGAAGGATTATCAATGTGGCCTCTCATGGAATACAAAGACCTATGTGACTGGAGACAGGCATGGAAGGGTGAGCATTACACTTTGAAGCAAATATTTGTGGATCTCACCATTGAAAGCTGGTAGATGATATGTCAATTAGAGGCACAGTTAGAAGAATAATAATATCATAGGCAAGCTGGGATTTGGGTAACTAAACTTAAAGCATGTGTAGGAACTGTATGATGGATCCTAGGCCTTAAACTGTGTGCATAATGTCAGACTAATAGAAGATCTCCAGAAATACATGATTATCAGTCTGTATCCCAACTTAGGATTGGTGAGCAGCAATGATATAGGCAGTTTTCATTCAGAATTAATTCACCAGAGTCGTCCAGTTGATGATCTGTGTACCAGAATCTAGGCAGGCAGAATAAGAGTGGCTCTTGTGGTGATATCCTTTTTGTCTTTTCTTTTTTTCTTTTTAAATTTAAATTTAAATTAGAAAAAAGGTTGCTTCAGATGTCAATTCCAGGTCCCTCTCCCTTCCCCTCCCCTCCTCCCTCTACCTGCCACAACCTCCCCCCAATATCCCCTCATTTCCCCCAGGGAGGGTGAGAAATTCCATGAGGGTGTCCACAGTCAGTCATTTCCTCCAGGGCAGGGCCTAGACCTTCCCCCAATATTCCAAGGTGAGAGCGCATCTCTCACTGTTGGATGGGTACCCAATGTCCATTTGTATACCCGGGATAAATACTGATCTACCACCCAAGGCTCAATAGATTACCTAGGCCTCCTCACTGATACCCACATTCAGGGGATCTTCATCAGTCCCATGCTGGATTCCCAGCCATAAGTCTAGGATTCAAGAACTAACCCTTGTCATATCAGCTGTTTCTGGGGGTTAAAGTAGCCAAGTCTTAACCCTTTCTGTCAGTGGATTTCTTGACTTCAACTCAGTGCTTAGACATGGGAGTCTGCCTATGCTTCCATCAGCCATTGAATGAAGGTTCTGTTTCCCAGACTGATGAAGACCCCCTGAATGTGGGTGTAAGTGAGGAGGCCTAGGTAACCTATTGAGCCTTGGGTAGTAGATCAGTATTTATCCCGGGCATACAAATGGACTTTGGGCACCCATCCAACAATGAAAAATGTGCTCTTACCCTGAACTCTTGGTAGAGGGTCTAGGCCCTGCACTGGATGAAACGACAGACTGTGGACACCCCCATGGAAGTTCTCACCCTCCCTGGGGAAATGAGGAGATATTGGAGGGGTTGGTGTGAGTGTGCAAGAGTAGGGGAGGGAAAGGGAGTGGGACCTGGAATTGACAAGTGAAGCAACCTTGTTTCTAATTTAAATTAAAAAAAATAAATTATAAAAAAAAGAATTTACCTGTCATCATATTAGAAGTTGTTCTTGGCCGGGCGGTGGTGGCACATGCCTTTAATCCCAGCACTCGGGAGGCAGAGGCAGGCAGATCTCTGTGAGTTCGAGGCTGGGCTGGACCAATAGCCTCCAAAACAATACAGAGAAACCCTGTCTCGAAAAACCAAAAAAAAAAAAAGAAGTTGTTCTTCTGCGTGTTGAGATGTCGGATCCCTTATGAAATCCTTTCACCTGATGTTTGTTGGGTTGATTTTTGCAATGTTAAATTTACCAGTACTTTTGCAATATCTGAATACATTATCATGACCTTCAGATTTTTACATGTGGAAGCATTTAATGAAAGGGACACCTTAGACAGACAGAGGAGGAAATAATTATGACATACCCAGAGAAACAAGTTCATGCTTTATTTAGAACAAGTTGATGACTACAGTTTCCTGTGTGAATATGAAATCTCTTCTAGGTGCCTTCTGATAGATGTTCCAAATGCCAGAATCCTCATTTAGACCTCTTCTTTGGATAATTTGGAATCACACATGGCCTTCACCTGACTCTGTAGTTTCAAAGAACTTATCTCAGATAGAAAGCTAATCACACCAAAGAGTGACATGGTGGTTGTAATGATACCTAAGGGGAACACAGCAGTATAATGCTTGCTTATCAAGGCATCTTTTTTAACCGGAAAGTCAGGTAGAAAGTCAAGAGTGGTTTGGCCATAATGATCTACAAGGTAGTTGCAACTCACGGAAGCAAATGTGAAGAGGCTGCTCACAGACAAAATTAAGGTAGAGACCTGGTAGCAATATATCTCCATCTCCACAAGGGGGTGTTTCATGCAGCTGATCTTAATGGCCATTGCAGTGAAAACCAGTACTACAGGCTTCATCAAAATAGCCCATACCAAGAGATTCACTGCATACTGAAATTTGGGTGAAATGGTCCAGGTGGAATTGATAGGAGTGTGGACCAGGGTCTTGATTACAGTCCCTGAGACATTAAACTCTTGAAGGTAATGAGCTTCCCAGAGTCCAAATGACACAAACTGCACAGAATTATCATCAAATTCCCACAGGCGCCAGTACAGGTAGCTTGCAATGACTGTCAAACATGAAAGCAGATATGCAGCTAAGGAGGCCATTCAGCTTTAAGATGTAGTCCTTATCATTGAGCAATCTGAAGAAGAGATTGAACAAGTATATAGGTATGTTAGGATCACAAGGGAATTTATAAAACAAAACTGTTCATTGGTAGCATAGCATGTAGCACTCATAACTTGTCCCTGCTGTCATGATTTATATTTTAATAGTCTGTCTATGTGTTAAGGTTCACAATATTACAAGAAACTGTATAAGAAGCCCTAAATTCCATGACTATAGCAGAAGTTCCCTCTCTAAGATATAATAGTTAGCATTTTCACTGTAGGTAGCAAATGCTGAAATGGGAATACTTGTTAACTAAGAATTTTAATGCTTGGACTTCACAGTGAAAAAAGAGTTTGTAATATCTCATTAAGGTGATGCTTGTTTCCACTGTGTTTTCAATGAAAAGTATAATAAATATCTTAAGGGAGAAGTATAAGCAGAACAATGCACAAATACAATATCTAAATTATGGCAGTGGACTGTTTTATGCCTATTGCACATTGATGTTTGCTAAAAAAATGAATGCAATGAAAATTAAACCACAGGTTACTCCCATTCATGTCTAAGTTCCATATTGGTATACATACACACACTCTCACATGCAGATGTTCACAGGGTTCTATGAACTGTATCTACTTGTCAATATTCCTTCCCTGGATGGCTACTACTCCACAGTGTCTGTGGAGTATGTATTTAACTTAAAGTTGACAGTTTCTATACAACTTGGGAAGATATATCAGCAAAATGGGTTTTCAATTGATGGTGGATTGCCTAACACCCTGCCCACACCCTCTCTCTGTCAAGGCAGATTTGAGGCCGGTGATTGAAGGAGCAGTGCCTTTTGAAGCATAAATGGAATTAGGGTTGAGAATTTTGTTGTTACAGACTAATAAGCCAGCCTTGGAGGAAATGATTCTGTCCCTGTCTGAATTCCATGGAGGAGATTCATGTGTTTTACAGAGACCTAATTAAAAACCCTCAGGGTAACTCAATTTTCTTTTTTACCTTTGCATGGTGCTGGTGTTGAGGAGGTCCATTTGAAAGATCCTGAGATCATAAATATCTTCCAAATATCACAAAGTGTTGACCAGAAAGGGAGTCACATAAGTGGTAAATAACCTTCAGAAAAAAGTAGTTCTGTTAAACACATAGTTCAGCATACAATAGTGTCTCACTGAAAAGTCCCTGATTCACAATAACCTACCCTTTCCTCTCTTCTGCTTTTTTCATTGGTTTCTCATTTTTATACTTCAGGATATTGTCCTATCTGATATTACCATCTGTTCAATGATATCCACACAATATTTATCTTTATGTGATAGACAGGAAAACAGCACAGAAAATCTAATTCACATGCTCCACTTCAGAAATCCATACAGATGTTAAGGTCATTGCAAGCTCCAGAGCCTTCATAGACAGCCAGGGATTCCTAGCACTTATGATATCCAGCAGAATTTACTCACAAGGAAATCATGTCAAAAGCAGTGGAACCATATGTCAGTGTTCTCTTTGGCTTTTTTGTCCTGTGTAATTAAATGAGATTAATAAAAACTGCATAGCAAATATAAAATACTTGCCTCTGTCTCCGCTATGAAGTCCAAATGTTAGTGACTGCCAACTGTAAGATAAGTTACTCTAGAAATTCTCATGTTTCCATGGCCACTAGAGATGAATGGGAGATTATGAGCAATGAACCAATGTCATGACATATACTCTTAAAGGACCAGAGCAGTTAATGTCAATCTCATATGTCAAAGTTTAAAGGAATAATTAATTAATTTAATTTTTTAATTTAAATGTTTTATCATAAAGTATAATTGTATTAGAATATATACTATAATTTGATCATGATTTGCCCCTTTGTCAACTTTTTAAGATCATTCTCCAGTTACATACTAACCCAACTGCATGGGCATTTGTTCATGAACCCCCATCCTGTGAAAATTATTAAAACTAATATAAGTCTAGCGGGACAGAAAGTAAAAAAAAACACTGAACAGTAACAAACATGGTCTCCAGTGATAAAAGGAAAGTGATATCTCTTGTGTTTCCTTACAACTCGAACATGAGACTTGTATGGAATGTAGTGGCTATATCTGGTGACACTCCATTGGGAAAAAAAATAAGTTTCTTTTTCTAGATGGTGTCAATTGCAATGACTTCCTTGGTTAATGATCAGCATTTGTGTCCACTACCCTGTTATGATTTCTGCAAATTGTCTGGTTTGAACCTGTGAAGGTACTGTCTATTGCTCTCACAGTCTCTTAGAGTTCTCAAGTTGTTTCAGGTACATTGTGTATGGAAGACCATGTTTTCTCAGAGTCAACCACTTCTGGCTTCTACAATGTTTCCCCTTTCTCTTCTATGTAGATTCTCATGTGTGAAAGGGTGGGGTTTGATAAAGAGATCTCATTTAGGATTGAGTCTCTCAAACTCTGCCCATTGCCCTTTTGTGTGTCCTATCACTTATTATCATCCACTGAAAGATCAAGTTTCTTTGATGTGCATAGTTTGATCCAGTGATCCATGAGTATAAGAATATTTCTTTAGTAGTCCTTATATTACAATGTTCCTTTGTCAGCATAATAGTACTAGGTTTCCACTAGATTCATGAATTAACTAATATCAGGTCCCTTATATCTCAGCAGTGTGGCTTGTGGGTTGTGTCCCTTGGAGTAGCACTTGTATGCAACAAAATATTTATAGTTCTATAACATTTGTGACATGGTTAGACCAGCATATGTTCCAGAGAGGTCACTCCAGGTTTAAGAATTTGAAGCTATGCGATATTGGTGGTTATGTTTCTCCTCTAGTAAATTTTTTAGTACTTTAAGTGCCATGATCATTAGCCAGCAGAGGTTCAAAGAAATCAAAGACAAAATTAATTTAATTCAAATGACACCACATGCTAATAAGACTGATCAGGATAATGGAATAATTGTATAGCCAAGACTGCTATACCCAGCAAGTCTATAAATCAATATAGATGGGGGAAACAAGATATTTTATCACAAAACCATATTTAAACAATACATATCTACTAACTCAGCCCTACAAAAAATTCTGGAAGGAAATCTCCAACCTGAGGAAGTTAACTACCACCACAAAAACATAGGCAATAGATAATCCCACTTTACCAACAGGCAAAAGAAAAAGTCGTGGAAATCCACATACAATTCCAACAACAACCATTCCAAAACAAACAAGAATGAGCTATAAATGGTTATTAATTTCTCTCAATATTAATGGCCTTAACGCGCCCCCCCAAAAAGACACAAGTTAACTGAATGGATTCGAAGACAGAAACAATTATTCTGCTGCATACAAGAAACACACTTCCGCTCCAAAGACAGACGTTATTTCAGAGTTAAGGGTTGGGAAAAGATTTTCCAATCAAATGGACCCGAGAAACAAGAGGGGCTAGCAATCTTAATATCTAACAAATTAGATTTTAAACTAAAATAAATCAAACGAGATGAAGGGGGTCACTTCATACTCATCACAGGAGAAATCAATCAAGATGAAGTCTCAATTCCAAACATCTATGCCACAAATTCAAAGCCATCCATGTTTGTAAATTGGAGAATAGTCACACTAGAAAATTAACAGCTCAACTGAAAGCTCTAGAACAAAAGAAGCAAACTTATGCCAAAGTTGCAGATGCTATGGAATAATTAAACTGAGGGCTGAAATCAATAAAGTAGAAACTAGGAAAACGATACAAAGAATCAATGTAACATAGAGTAGGTTCTATGAGAAAATCAAAAAGATAGACAAACCTTTATCCAAACTTACCAAACAGCAGAATACGAACATGCAAGTTAAGACAATCAAAAAAGAAAAGGGAGACATAACAGCGGACAGTGAGGAAATCCAGAGAATCATCAGTCATATTTTGAAAAGATGTACTCCACAAAATTTGAAAATGTAAAGGAAATGGACAATTTTTGGATAAATATCATTTACCAAAATTAAATCTAGGACAGATAAGCAATTTAAATATTCCTATAACACCTTAGGAAATAGAAGCAGTCCTCAAAAGTCTCCCAACCAATAAAAGCCACATAAAGGCAAAACTAAGAAAGAGAACTTCAGGCCAATATCCTTCATGAACACTCAGTAAAATACTGGCAAATCAGATCCAAGAATACATCAAAAACTCATCCAACATAATCAAGTAGGCATCATTCCAGGGATGCTGGGATAGTTCAACATATGAAAATGCATCAAGGTAATCCAACATATAAAGAACCTGAGAAACAAAAATCACATTATCATCTCACTAGATGCTGAGAAAGCCTTTGATAAAATCCAACACCCATTTATCATAAAGGTCTTAGAGAGATATGGGATAAAAGGAACATACCTAAACATAAAAGCTGTATACAGCAAACTTACAGCTAACATCAAACTGAATGGAGAGAAACTCAAAGACAATTCCTCTAAGATCAGGAAGGAACAAGGCAAGGTTTCCCCCTCTATCCATATCTCTGCAATATGTACTGGCAGTTCTAGGTAGAGCAATAAGACAACAAAAGGAGATCAAGGGGATACAAATTGGAAATCATGAGGTAATATTTTCACTATTTGCAGATGATATGATAGTTTACTTAATTGACACAAAAGAACACAGGGAACTATTACAGCTGATAAACACTTTCAGAAAAGTGACAAACTACAAGATCAACTCAAGAAAATCAGTAGCCCTACAGAAGATAAAATGGCCAAGAAAGAAATCAGAGAAATATCACCCTTCACAATTGCCACAAACAACATAAGATACCTGGGATTAATGCTAACCAAACAAGTGAATAACCTGTATAAAAAGAACTTTGATTCTTTAAAGAAAGAAATTAAAGAAGACTCCAGGAAACGGAAAGATCTCCCATGCTCTTGGATAGGTACGGTTAATGTAGTAAATGTGGCAATCCTGCCAAAAGCATACTCAATGCAATTCTCATGAAAACCCCAGCACAATTCTTCACAGACCATGACAGAAACATTCTCAACTTTATATGGAAAAGCAAAAAACCCAGGATAGCCAACACAATCCTGCTCAACAAAGCAATGTCTTTAGGCATTACCATCCCTGACTTCAAGCTCTATTATAGAGCTATAGTCCTGAAAACACCTTGGTGTTGGCATAAAAATAGACAGGTAGACCAATGGAATCAAATTGAAAACCCTCATTTTAACCGATACAAATATGAACATTTGATTTTTGACAAAGAAGCTAAAATTATACAATGGAAAAAAACTTAAGTCTAAATGCGTAAAACCTAAGTCTAAATGGATCGAAGACCTCAACATATATCCAGCCGCACTGAACCTGTTAGAAAAGAAAATGGGAGGTACCCTTGAACAAATTGGTACAGGAGACTGCTTCCTGAACATTAACACCAGTAGAACAGACACTGAGAACAACAATTAATAAATGGAACCTCTTGAAACTGAGGAGCTTCTACAGGGCAAAGGACACAGTCAACAAGACAAAATGACAGACCTCAGAATGGGAAAAGATATTCACAAGCCCCACATCTTACAGAGGGCTGATGTCCAAAATTTACAAAACTAAAGAAGTTAGTCTCCAGAACACCAAAGGATTCATTTGAGGAGTCCAAAATGGCCAATAGACACTTGAGAAACTGCTGAATATCTATCCATTAGGGAAATGCAAATCAAAACAACTCTGAGATACCATCTCACTCAAATCAGAATGACTAAAATCAAAAACACTAATGACAGTTTATGCTGGAGGAGAAAGGGGTACAGTCCCCCACTGCTGTTGGGAATGCCAACTTGTGCAGGCCCTTTGGAGATCAGTATGGAGATTCCTCAGAAAAATGGAAATCTGTCTACCACAAGATCTAGAAATTCCACTCTCAGGCATACATCCCAAAGATGTACCCTCATACAATAAGGACATCTGCTTAACTATGTTCATAGCAGCATTATTTGTAATAGCCAGAAACTGGAAAGAACCTAGATGCCCCTAAACTGAAGAGTGGATTGAGAAAATGTGGTACATTTACACAATGGAGTACTACTCAGCATAAAAATATGTAATCTTGAAATTTTCAGGCAAATGAATGGCACTGGAAGAAACCATCCTGAG